AAAAAAAACAGTGGTGTACCAAAGTGCTTAACATGCAAGAGAATAGGATGAAGTAACAGGGAAGGATGAGGGCTATGGCAAGATACCAAAACAGCTAGCAAGTTGAATGGCATTAAAACACAAAAGCAAAAGAAATTGCATATGAAAGCATAAAAGAAAACTAAGTGTAGAGGATAAAACAGTCAAAAAAAAAGTTTACTAATGAACACTTGAAATGTTTGGTAAACTTGGTGTGCGTGTGTGTGTGTGTGTGTGTGTGTGTGTGTGTGTGTGTGTGTGTGTGTGTGTGTGTGTGTGTGTCAGCTATGACTGAGGAGGAAGTGGATGCAGCCAGCTGGAGACAGTATCTGATGCTGGGTCAGATTACATGGAGTAATCCAACACTCATTGGCTACCAAATGTCACTTAATGTCATCTCCATCTGGCCTTTATGTGAAACTATAAAACAGAAGGAAAATGTGGTTTAATGTTTAATGGCTTGGCTACTTTGGGTTGTATTAGCAGGAGGATACAATCTGTGAGCTCCACCACAGAGGAAGGAAGGCTCCAGCAGGAGCATTTTATGGACAACTGCACCAAAGTAAATGGTTAACCAGAGGTCAAGTACATTGGACGGCTCTGTCCTGACCAGCTTTAATCAAACTGTAAACTTCTTTGTGACAGGAGGCCGTTTGGATGTTGGAGCTCTGCTCTGCTGTTAACAGCATCTCATGGCTGCTGATTCCTGGCTCTGTGCGCTCATTGCCCCAAGCCAACACAGAATCGCTCCAGACATGCGGCCTGCAGGTTTTAACCAGATTATACTACGAAAACAACATCTTCTGCCTGTGTGTTTGACATTTCTCTGAGCGGAGGCTTTATTTAATCCCACCCAAGTAAGAGCACAGGATTCTCTGTTTCTGTGCCATTTGAATCTTGTTTCTGCAGCTTCTTCATGTTTGCTCCATTAGTGTTGTCATGTTGGCTCCATGTGAAACAGAGATCGTATCATAAAAGCCCTGATACGGATTGTTTCTACCATAAGTTGACTTTAAACAGTCTGTTCAGGTTCCTTGATTTTATGAACACTGAGCTAACCCCTGCTCTGACTGACCTTCTGACCTCCGCTTAAAACACTGAGATTGTTTAGGATCATACTGTACTGTATTATCATACTGTATACTACACAAACAAGTGACTTACTGGTGCTTTTGGGTGAACTGTGTGAATTCAAAAATCCCTTTTTCATGGTTATAATATTTCTGTAGCTGCAGGCTCTTGTCTACATTGTTGGGTTAAGCATCCATCTCTCTAATATTCTGACCAACAGGTCAAGGTAAAAAAGGCAGTGCTATAGTGGAGACACTGACACCATGGATACCACAGCTAGTTATTAACTTTTATTTAAACTGGGGTACAGGTTTTGGCTAATTAAATTGAGAAAAGTCAGAAGAAATGAAACGCCGTGTCCTTAGTAGAATGAAAGCCAAATAAGTGAGGGATGCATCTTACATCCAAAGCATGCCTAATGGTCTGGTTACAATTTGTCAGTCGCAAAAAGCATGCTCTGCCTTTATCATCTATTTTAACGAACCAAAGTATGAACAGAGAGATATACTTAAGAAGGCCTTTATGCAATAAATTATTTAAAATGATTAATAAGATCATTTTCTTAAACTTGACCCTGATGACCATTAGAGAGAATTCGAGACTACTGACTCAGTTTTTAGATGCAGAGGCTCGACTGCATCCGCAGTTTTGCTGGTTGAAGATGTGATCACCAGGTAACCTTTTGTTCCCAGCTAGTTGACATCCTATTTTTACTCTAGTGTGATGTAGTCCCAAAATATTAGAACAGCAACAGGTTATAAATGACTTTAACAGAAGTTCAAAAAAGCCTTAATTTATTTGATTAGCAACAATCTGTGATTCCCTGTTTTCTCAAATCAGAACAACAGTTGCCTCAATGTGCTTTATGTTGTAAGGTAAAGATCACACAATAATACAACAGACAAAACCCTGAAAATCATGTGACCCCCTATGAGCAAGCACTTTGGTGCCAGTCGGAAGGAAAAACTCCCTTTTAACAGGAAGAAACCTCCTGCAGAACCAGGCTAAGGGAGGGGCGGGGCCATCTGCTGCGATTGGTTGGAGTGAGAGAAGGAAGACAGGATAAAGACCCTCTGTTAAAGAGAGCCAGAGATTAATAATAACTCATGACTAAATGGGGAGTGGTGAATAAACACAGTGAGAAGCTGACAGAGGTCTGCCTGCATGATTCCAGTTGGATGTTGTTGAGTTTCTATTGCTTTGATGCCATGAGCATTACTCTTACTCTTGTTACTAGTCTTTACTCTAAATTATTTTTGTAGCAATAATAAAACCTTCTGCATGTAAATGTTCTATGTTGTCACTATCTGACCCGTTTTCACAGCACTGCAGAGGTTTTCTTTCTTTTTAATGTATTTCCTTCTCTCCTGGTTTAGTCTGGATCGGGACTGAGATTGTAACCTTAAACCCTTACACACAAGCACACACTGAAACACGCACACAACCTTTGACTCTCTGGTTCTGTTGTCTCAACCAAACACTTGCAGTATTATACCATGCAGCAGAAAAGAGCTGTTGTTTTCGGGGCCGGGGACTGAGCCTCTCTCTCCATTTGGGACACACACACACATACACTCAGTCTTTCTCACAGTGTGTGCTTGCAGGCTCGAGGGTTGTTGAGCACTGTTTTCACTGAGCCGCAGGTACACACAAGGAGACCGTCAAAGGAAATGACTTAATCACTCATGATTCTGGATGTAAGCAGGGCAGTGTTGGGAACAGGAGCTCAGGCGTGTCTTAAGGGGGGGTCGGTCCTACACGGGTCGGTATTAGAGAACAGTGATTTGTGCTTTGTCCGCTGCAGACTGGTCCCCTGTTGTGCACCAGTGAATAGATGCCTGTTCACCCTGTCTCCTGTCTGTAAACATAGCAGGGTAATGAGCATCGATTATCACCTACACAAGTCCGTTTTTTAACCAAAGATTTCTTTATTTCTGGCCAGGCCTGGTTTTAGAAAGCAGAGATGTTTTTTCAGTAGAGAGGAATGAATCAGCTCAGGCTGATAAACAGTCTGATTAACATTGAGCTCCCGTATATCCCAGAGGTGTTGGATGAGGTTTGGGCCACACTGTACGGTGAATATTGTTTCTAATACACTGAGCTGTATACTGCCTCAAGTGTCCTGTAGGTTTTAGATCTCACCCTGGGTGAAAATACCTGAATCAAATGATGAGTTCAGTACCAGGCCTCTGGAGAACTTCAACACATGTTGAGGAGGTCATTTAGCCATTTGAATCAGCTGTGTTGGATCAAGGCCACATCTAAACCCTGCAGGACACCGGCCCTCGACACCTGTGGTTTATGGTCATGTCAAGGCTAAAGATCTGACCATAGAGAGAACCAGTGGAATTACATGATTCACAGTGAGCAAGGACTTGGCAACGGTGGGGAGAAAAAGACCCCCAAAACCTCTTTTTGCAAAACCAGGTTCAGGGAGGGGCCGCCATCTGCAGGGAAGGCGTCAAAGAGGATGAAGATTTGTCTGTATTCTGACTGTGAAATCTGCTGGATCTTAAGTTTTAAAAACACTGGTGTATAGTAAGGATGCAGAAAATGCTAGCTTACTCTAGCTAGCTCTTACAATTATTGTACAATCTACTCTACAATATAGAGGTGACTGTTGTTGTGATTTGGCACTATATACATAAAACTGAATTGAATTGAACTTAAAAACTAAGTACCTGTAAACGCTCCAGTGGTTACAACCACTTCACCATCCCCATCTGTCCTGGCTGGTCAGTCATGTTCATGTCTCCACACATGATCACTGTGAATGCCTCACTAAAGCTGGATTTGTATTCTGTTGGGCTTTAGGTTTTGCAGATTGTCATCAGTGATGTGGCTTCCATTGTGCGTAAGATTACGAGTCAGCAAATCCCCGATTCAAAAGCACACAATGGTCAGGGATCTACGAGTGTGTGTGTGTGTGTGTGTGTGTGTGTGTGTGTGTGTGTGTGTGTGTGTGTGTGT